CCGCGCTGCGGCAGCGGCGGCCTGGGGAGGTGAAGCCGGGCTCCGGCGGCCTCGGCGGCGCGGCGGAGGGAGGCGGCCGGCCCGGCGGGGGTGGGCGGGCTTGGGCGGCCGGCGAGGCGGAGGGGCGGCTCGACATCCCCGGGGCGGGGCGGGGCCCTCGAGGGCAGCGGCTCGAGCGCTTTCTTCCAGGTCGGCTTTCCCAGGGCCCTTGCAGGAGTGGCCCCGGCGTCCCAAGGGCTGTGGGAAGGGCGGGGGTCGGTAGGGGGGCGCCTCTTGCAGGCCCTTCTGGGCACTTGAGGGGAGCGGCGCTGGCGCGCACGGGGCCACTGTGCCCTTGCTTTGGGGATGCTCCAAGGGGAGTGAGATGGAGGTGTAGGGGCGGATACCTCGGTACCACTGGTGAGGGCCGGAGAAGCCTCGCTAGAATGAGCTCTTAGACCGGTGGGGTGTGAGCGGTTGTGGGTGAGTCTAAACAAAACAACCGAAAATCAAAGCGAGGTGCTCGCAGGTTGAGAGAGACACCTGGCTACAAACGTCCCGTGTTGACGGATTGCCTTGTAGGCCCAGAGCAATCAAAGGGGAGGTAGCTTTCTTGTTCAAGAAGCTACTGGTTTGCCTAGAACTCTAAAAGAATCCTGTGAGTTTGGGATTTCCTTTTAGATGTACATGATGGAAGTTGGTTGGGGCTGGTGGCGAGGGGTCATGTAAAGAGGTTCCAATGGCTGCCTTAAGGTCCCAGTGCGGACAGCTTTTTCTTTTGGTGTCATCACTTGCCCATGGGAATTATTCAGAATGTGCTTTGCCCGCATGAGAGGCGAGGAGCTCTGAAGCTATTGCTTGATTAGCAGTTCTTCCTTCCTATGTAGAAAATCAAATTTCTGGAACCATCCTCTATAGTGTAGATTTTTGCCTACGCAAAGGCTGTCTTTAATGTCTAGTGCTTGGCACTAATTACTTTAAAAGTAGCAGGATGGAAGTACAGTAGCTGAGGCACCACTGGCTTCTGAGCTCACTTCTATGGAAAATAATTGTACAGAGTTGGGTCTACACTTTCCAGGGAAGTTAACGCTTGGCTGTCTAGTCCTAATTTTTTACTTAACTTTCCCCTCCCCCCCTTCAGCCTCATCTGTTTCAATGGTGCAACTCTCTTCATCCCCTTTTGGTTACCAGTCACCTTCAGGCCATTCAGAGGAGGGAAGAGAGGGGAATATGAAGTCAGCCAAGCCCCAAGTGAACCACAGTCAGCATGGGGAAAGCCAGCGGGGCTTGAGCCCCCTGCAGTCTACTCTCAGTTCTGCTGCATCTCCTTCCCAAGCATATGAGACCTATATTGATAATGGACTCATATGCCTTAAACACAAAATTAGAAACATCGAGAAAAAGAAGGTAACTTTTTTTTTTCTCCCAGCCCTGTATATGCATGATATTAAAGGTTAAGGAGGTGACATTTTTCTCTCAGGGCTCATAGGTGTTCCTTCCTAAAGATTTAACCAGCCTTGGTGTTTAGCTGCTTTGAAACAGTTAAACAAGCATGCTAAATATTGGAAGTATTAAACATTTTCTGTTTTATTTGTCAACACAACTGAATAAAAGTATTCTTCATAGTAAGATGATTATGCATGCTTCTGTTGACATACTTTAAGAGCTAGCTATTTTAGGTCAGCTTAAGTCCTTGAGTGTAGTATTAATGTTTCTTTTCACAGATGAGTTAATAGCCTGATTTTTAAGCTTGTTTTCCTTGTGACTTTCTGCAGCAGTTGGTATTGCAGTATAGCTGCTGCAGTCATTGGAAGCTTTAGCCACAGTAGAACTAGAAAATGTTTTAGCACTCATTTTCATGTTGCTAGGTGACGGTTTAAGATTGGTAGGTGGAGGTGTTGTAGACAGCCTTGGAAAGAGAACCAGGAGTTACAATCAACCTAACATTCCAGTAAATGCTGGTGTAAAGATCTAAGTCCTTCCTCATTTCCTGAGTCATGTAGCCTGTGAAACGGTACTGCATGTTGCTTTGTGTTATGATTCTCTTCTGCTTTTGACAGGTAAGGTTGAATGACTATCTGGACCTATGTACTCTTAAGTTGCTTTTAATGGAGGGTTAAAGAGGTTTTTAAGAGTCTGGGTTGACTCTTTTCCTTTTTTTTTTTAAGCTAGGAAAGTAGTAAAGAAGGGCAAGTGGAGCTTCTCTGTAGCTCTCACCATTTAATTTTGAATGTGTGCAGTTGATCACAGTGTGATAAGGTGAGTGTGCCAGGTCAGCACAGATTCCCTACCACTATGAAAACCAAAGTGGAATCTATTGTTGGAAACTGCCTCAGGTGGAGGAACTACACATAAGTGCACTTACACTCTAGCTTAATGATAGTACCTCTTCAATTTTGAATACCAGCCAGGCATGGTCGTTCATGCCTGTAATCCCAGCACTTTGGGAGGCAGAGGCAAGAGAATTGCCTGAGCCCAGGGGTTCGAGAGCAGCTTAGGCAACTTGGTGAGACCTTGTCTCTACAATAAATAAAAAAATTAGCCAGATGTGGTGACGAGCACCTGTGGTTCCAGCTACTTGAAAGGCTGAAGTGGAAGGATTGCCTGAGCCCAGCAGGTTGAGGCTGCGGTGGCGATGGTTGTGAGCATGCCACTGCACTGTAGCCTGGGTGACAGAGTGAGATCTGACTCAAAAAAAAAAAAAAAAAAGCTTTTTTTTGGAATACCTATCTAATAGTTCTACTACTTTGTTTCAAGCTTCTAGGAAAGCATTTTGAGACGATAAAGCCAATGCGATAGTGCCTACAAAATGATTTAGAATACCACAGTGAGTTTGTATCATTAAAAATAAATGTGATTTATTTTTCATATGTTTATGTTAAGTTTCATATGAAAAATAACTTCGAGTTGAGGCTGCTATAATGCTAGAAAAGAAATCTTTTAGGCTGCTGTTTTTCCTAGAGACCAGCCCAGGCTGCTCTCTGTCATTTCAATAACCTTGTTTTTAAAAAAACAAACAAACAAACAAAATTTTCACATTTCTGTACTTCCAATGGAAAGTTTCCTATTGGGAAATTGCCACATAATTCAACTAGTAACTGAACTAATAATAGTTTAAGCCTGAGGTTAAAGTAAGACTTCTCAACCTTGACACCATTGGCATTTTGTACTGGATAGTTCTTTGTTGTGAAGGGCTGTTTGTACATTTTAGGATGTTTAGCCGCATCCTTGACCTCTGCCTACAAGGTACAAGTAGCACTCTTCTCTCTTCCACCTTCCAAGTTGTGATAACCAGAAATATCTCCAGACATTGCCAAATACCTCTGGGGGACAAAATTGTCCCTAATTGAGCACCACTGAATTGGTGGTATATGATTGACAAGGTAAGTCCCTGTTGGTTAAGTAGTCTGAGACCATTAAGAAAAAAAAAAGGCTTTATTACTACTTAGCTTTAATCATTCCAGACTTATGTTATTTTTTTTGCCTCCTGACTAGAACTCATCTACAATTGCTGTATACCTTGTAGTAAAATGATAGTCTTGCAGATTACTAGCTTACTTCAAGAACTTTGTTTTTATAAATGCAAGGTCTAGCATTTAGTTTATTTGCTTCAGAATTTCATATGAGACTATAGTAGATACAAGTTTCTCTTTTGTAGCTCAAACTGGAAGATTACAAGGATCGCCTGAAAAGTGGAGAGCAGCTTAATCCAGACCAGTTGGTAAGTGTCTTTGATCCTTTGATCAGACTTGCTGGTTTTCTTTTCTTAATAAAACTTGATAGATTTAGTGAGACCAGAGACTTGATAGGCCAAAGAGTGAGTTAGAACCTACTGAATGTTTCAGAAGACTTTGTCTTCTTTGCTTGTTGGGTTTGACTTTGTTTCTGTTGCAGTAGATGAGGTGGATGGGGGTGTAGGTTATTAAACAGAAGTGAAGATGTAGACTGGCACTAAGAGTTGCCATACAGATTTAAGTCAAGCTGTGCTAGGATAAGACTGGAGGAGAAGAGCCGGGACTGGGCTGTGGCTTCCAGGTCTTCCCTTCTAAATCTGATGATTTTGTGCTCTCAAATGTAAAAGGATATTTACTATAACTTACCTCAGTTCTGAGGTTACTTCCCCTTCATTCCTTTCATGGTTTTCCCTCACTTTCCTGTGCTGGATTGCCATGTCCCCTTTTAGGAGTTGTGTTTATCTGGTGGATATCAGACCTTTAAAAAACATAATCTTACTATAAACATTAGACTGTTTACTTTTCTTAATTACATTGTTGAACTTGTCCATGGTATACCTGGTAATTGCAAATTTTTTCTGCTTTGTGAAGGAGAGTTTTTGCAATATGGAAAGAAGAAAGTACTTCATTGAATCTGCCATTTTTACCTGATAACATCTCCTGGCTAAGAAGGGACAAAATTTTTTCAAAAGTTATTTGGTCTTACTTGTGGGTCTATTGTCTTTTATGCTTTTCAACTCAAATTTTTGGTTATATATCGTAGATACTGGCATTCAAGGACTTTTCCCCTTGCCACATTGACTCGTCTTCACTGACCCAGAATTTTTGTGATGTAGTAAATTAGAATTTTGCTGAGGCACAGCTTTGAATTGTGAGCTCTGAGAATGGTGTGCTCACTTAGCTGGTGAGAGGACTTAGCTAGACATCCAGCATTACAACATGGCTTTGTTTTCAAGTAGTCATGGTGTGTTCAGTAACTCTCAAAGTAGGCTAGGCTTGGTGGCTCACGCCGGTAATCCCTGTACTTTGAGAGGCTGAGGCAAGAGGATTGCTCGAGGAATTCACAACTAGCCTTGGCAACCTAGTGAGACCCCCATCTCTATAAAAAATACAAAAATTAGCTGGATGTGGTGGCATTTGCCTGTAGTCCCAGGTACCTCAGGAGCCTAAGATGGGAGGATTGCTTGAGCCCAGGAGTTCTAGGCTGCAGTGAGCTATGATCACACCAGCTTGGGCAGCAGGGCAAGACTGTCTCAAAACAACACAACAAAAACCCCTCAAAGTGATAAAACTTCTTGGTGTAAATATCCTTGAATGAAGTGTCCAATTACAGTAACATTCTTTATTTCTGGAAAACATGATGGAATGGGAGGATTGATAGTTCTCATGGTCAGTCTCTAAGAAATGTCAAGGACATGTTGTATTTCATTGCTCCAGCCAGGCAAACTTCAATCTCATTTCATTACTGTCCTTTGACCACTACATGTTGCTTCTATAATAAATATATGAACTTGGGTTTCTTAAGTAATATGCTGACAACTACCCAATTTATATTGCCAACGGAGCAGTCCTTTGAAATATACTTCTATGTGCAGTTGCCTGATGCCTCTTGATTTCTCCCTGTTCCCTAAAACTTGCTCTTCCTTTAATCTTGTCATCTGATGGCTTGATCAGCTAAAAGGGTGGAGTTGCTCAGCACCCTGAAGAATTTCTCTCTCTTTTTTTTGAGTTGGAGTCTCACTCTGTCACCCAGACTGGAGTGCAGTGGCTGCTCCCGGCCACCGCAGCCTCAACCTGCTGGGCTCCGGCGATCCTTCC